CGTAGTCACCCACTTGTGCGTGCACCATCACATCCTTGTCTACCACTACTGCCTGGCCACAAGGCCTTGCGAGCGTTCCGCTAGGTTTGTCAACAACCCCGACTATAGTTTCGGTATGGTGGGCACCATCAACAATGTAAAGGTGCTCAAGACTTCAGGCGTCGCCTACCAGAAGCTTATTGGTATCTAGGGCCAGTACAAGATCTAGGGCAGCAAGAAGAAGAAGGACTCCCTGATTGACCCCGCCGAGGCCATCATCGACCCCTACTACAGAGACATGAAGGATGCATGCAACAAGAACATGCTTGCCTGACACAGGGCCTGGGTGGAGAAACTGATGAAGATCACGTCAAGTATGTGGCCAAGGAGGCGTACACAAGCTACAAGATGTAGAGGTGGATCGTTGACATGAGGAAGTGCTTCCTTCCCCAAGACGGCGAGGGATCGATCCACAAGCGGGGCAATGGCGGCAAGCATCACAAGAAGTAGATGATTTGATGATCATTTCCACTAGTTTATTATGCATGTAATTGTTTATTGAGGTGTGCAAATGTTATCTATAGTTAGTTACTTTGGTTATATATATGTTGTCATTCTGTAGACATAGTATAGATGTTGTGCAGACAGATCAAATCACATCGCATATGATTAAACTAAGGAACCCATCGGTGATGATTTCATCAATAGCTGGCAACTGTTTATTAGCAAGCATTTGCCCACAACACACACAACTTACTAGCAGGAATCGTGTGTGTTCTTATCGGTCTTCGCACACAGTTCTGATTACTGGCCTGTTTGACATGTATCACACACATCTTGTTGTGGCGAGTCATTTGTGTTATTCTGCATCATCATAAACACTTCATCTACGTGACTTGTATGCCGTCTATCGCACACATCTTGATCTGGATAACCGTTTGTATTATTTTGGCTCATGGCAAATAGTTCATGCGTATTAACTGTATGCCACATATTGCACACACAACTCTTGTCTGAATCGTGCTTGATGGAGCAACCATAGCACACAGTTCATTTTCTTGGACATGATTTTATTACCATGCCATTTGTGATTCATGCACCGCACACAGTTTGGTCGAATGGTATTCGATACATGTGTCGTCTTAGGACCTTCCTACAGTAGTGTGTGCCCGCTTTCAAGATGCACAAAAAGTATCGCGCCATCCCACGGTCAAGCGTATTCTGGGACATTTGGCCCACACCCCCACCTTAGGTTTATTGTATCCTAAGGGAGTGCAATTTAATCTCATTGGATATTCAGACTCAGATTATGCAGGCGACCGGGTAGACAGGAAACCTACCTCGAGGACATGTCATTTCCTTGGTAGATCTTTGGTATGTTGGTCTTCAAGAAAGAAAAATTGTAGCTCGCTATCCACGACGGAGGCCGAATATATTGCTGCTAGTGCTTGCTATTCTCAGTTATTATGGATGAAGCAGACTCTCAAGGATTATGACATCAAGGTCAAGAAAATTCCTCTGCTATGTGACTATGAGAGTGCCATCAAAATTGCACACAATCCAGTGCAGCACTCTAATACGTCTCCAACGTAATGGAGGCGTGGTGGATCTCAGCCCTTGCCAACGAGAGGTCTCCTCCTCCGCTTTGGGGTGTCTTTTGTGTCCGTTTAGGGTTTGTGTCCTGCTCAGGAAAGCGAGGCGGTGGTGACTGGCTCCCTGATGATGGAATAAGGTTCTCCCCACTCAGTCCCCATCCCTGTGGTGCGTCTAGAGTCGTCGGAGGGCGTGTGGAGATCTATCTCTGGCGAATCTCACATGATTTGGTTGGCATTTGTCTTTGGTGGACCTACTTGGATCAAGTCTTGGTTTGTCTGTGTTTGTGTGTCTACAGGTTGGATACTTCTGTTCATCGATGAAGGTGGTTGTTGGTGCGCTGGTCCTATGGGGCCTTAGCACGATGACTTCTCGGTTGTTTACTAGAACAATGTCAGCCCAGCTAGAACAAAATAATCGCAGTACTAGGCGCCATGTTCCATTTGAGAGCGGACACTATTAAAGATTATCTTCAGCTCCAAATCCAGTCATCCAACAAGGGTGACACTCGGAGTAAAACATCGAGCCGGGGGTTCAACAGTCAAGGACATGTCCAACGCCATGCAGCAAATCGACACACCAAACATGCATGTGTCCATAGACAGGTACCAAACCGATCATCCAACTCGGTGCACCAAATTCCTGCCCCCATTTTTCCTATATCCGGAGCACTCATAATTATTACAGATAAATATCATCCTTCATCGATAATCATGATGTGCAAATATTATAATGCAACAATAATTCAAATATAAATATTACAATCCAAACATGCAGTTTTGCAATAAAATATTTGAAATCCGAATTCAACCTATCCAGACACAGTTTTCAGTCCTCCCCTCGGAACTCCCACAAATGCTTACCTAGATCAATCTAAAGTTGCTCATGAGTTGCTCGATGGCGAATCTATTGACGCATTTGGATAAATTCCTCAAATGTCGTCGAATTCTACTATGGAAGTTCGATAGGATCACCCATTTGCTGAATTTTCAGACAGCGGTGAACTTTGTCGCCCTCATTCTCCACAATCATGCTGTGCATAATCACACAAGCTGTCATCACATCCCACAATGTCTCTTGATCCCCTATTTTTGTAGGTCCTTGAACAACTACAAACAGGTTTGGAGCACTCCGAATGTCCTATTCACATCCTTTCTAGCTCCTTCTTGTCTTTGGGAAAAGTGAGATCTTTTCTCAACCCTTGGATCAGAGATGGTATTGTCGAAGGTCATCCACGAAGGGATAATATCCCATGCTGTATTGACCATTAATGGTATAGTTGCACGTAGAAACTTCTCCCACACACAACCTTGCAAACAATGGAGACCGCTTCAAAGGGTGATGCTTTGTGAGACCCAGGTATTCCAAAGAAAGAGTGTCAAATTCAGAGGTCTTGTGATGCAATGCTTCAAAAATGATGGCGGGCTTCTTACAATGGCCCTGATATTTTTCCCTTTATAACGTATGGGCTATTCTTTCATTGCCAGTGCATGCAATCCAGGGATTCGAGCATACCTGGCCACCATCTTGCTTATGACAGTACCATGAGTCGTGCAGTGTCTTTGACAGTTGGTTTTTTCAAGTACTCCGGTCCAGACACCTTGATCACCGCAGTAGCAAACCCGACCATGGCTTCAAGGCATTTGCTTTCGGACATTCAGAGGTACTCGTCTCATAAATCTGTGGCCCGCCACAGGCAAGCATCCTCAATGGAGGCATGCACTTTCAGTAAGAGAATTCAATATTTCCTACGGCATCCTCTTCAAAATGAAGTAGTCATCATAGGCCCGAACACTATTTTTTGACTATATCCGGACACTATTGTAGAGGCAATAGAACACAGTTCGGCTCATCCGGAATCGACGACGGAAATAGGACTCGAATAGCGCATCAGAGACAGTAGTCGTCCATCGACATCATATGCTCCCGTGCTGCATTTCGATTCAACACTCGATGTCCCTTGACTGATCACTTGAAACTAAGAACATGTTCTTCCGTACGTCGGGCATCTTCAATAACCGCATGTATCATCGATGTTTCATCATCATATTCGTCCCCATATGAAGAGGACACATCAATGAACTCGTCGTCGAAATACTTTGTGGTGAAATACATCGTGTTTGCTTCAAAGTAAACAACAAAAATATTACTCCCTCCATTTTTATATACAAGACCACTATGAAAAACACATTTTGCATCTATACAAGGCCACCAACAATAATCGAGGCAAATATTAATGATGTTTCCTCATACTAATAATCCATGACTTAATTACTAGCATGCATGTAGTGGATGATAATGAACACTCACCTACTTCCTCTCCCACGGCCACTCAGTTTTTTTTAATGTGCATGCACCCTATTAATTAACCCCGTAAACAAGAAAACAAATTGGCTTGTAAAGCAAACATTAATTTTTGTCTTGATACCTGTAATTTGAGTTTGTGATCTTGTATATAAAAATGGAGGGAGTAATAAATTTGGCTATGGCATTTGCCGGAACACGTGTCAGGCGTGATGTCCACCATGGACAGCAACGTCCAGGGGCGAAAATTGAAAATTACCTGGGCGGCGGTCGGACCAGGTGTGAAAGAAAGGGCAAGTCAGGCTTTGGGGTTTGCGTGGAGGAAGAGCGGCAAAGCTTCGGCAAGGCCTGGGCGATGGAGTAGGTGGTACAACAGCGTCGGTCTCAAACTACGTGGATACGTAGCAAAGTGGAGGGATAGAGTGAAAAAGACGAGGCTTCGAATGGGGTTTTTGTGTCGGCAGTAAGTGTCAAGCACCTACTTGATGGCTGTCCAGACGTCAACAAACATCCTCCACCTCCTCTAACTTTACTTCCAGTTTGCGGATTCAGGAGCACGACGGGATCGAAGTCATCCGCGGGCGTCTTAACCAAGTACTCGAGTCGGAGTCAATGGAGTTGAGGTTCTGTCAACGCTACATCGACCGTCAGATCCAGCGTGTCAAGCACCAATGTTCGAGTACGTCAACAACAACGAAGTGACTCAGGAGGTAGCCGGCGTGTAAAGAAATCTAATCCTACAAATCAAACAGACCGGCATAGGAAATTTTCCCAAGGATTTCAATTCTCCAAAATTCAACGGAAATCCTTTCAATAAAAAAGGCCCTTAGACTTGAAATAAACAAATGTGGTTAACTCCGACCTAGAGAATATGATGCTCTTGCAAGCACAAGCAGAACCAAAATATAGCGTAAAACACACAAAGTACCAGTTGATCATAGACTTCAACGGATCCCACAATATATCACAAACAGTACTGATAAAACGTGTCAACACTCAACAACTGGCTTTTGAACACAAGTCTGTTCACTACAAAAACTACCGACCTATTCTAGAAAACATAGTAGGAAAGAAGGCATTGTTCTCTGCTCTCACCACCCAGTCACGGATTGTAGAACTGAAATTCATCTCAGCCTGCATATGAAGGAAACTACACATCAACATATAATTAGTTAATTACAGTAGAAGAGAATTAATAAGAGGAACATTGACAGAATGAACCTTTAGGCGAGAGAGATAAGGTTGGGCTCCTCCTGTCAACTGGTGGACCATGTCCGTTATTGGATGGTGATATCCTACGCTCATGTCCATCTAGGCTAGGCGATCGACCATCTGATATGTGCTGCCTCTTGTCCCGAGTATGTGGAGAGTATGAATCCCTAGGAGAATAATTATCTCTGTCCCTGCAAACAATCAAAGATTTGACCTTAGCACCAAACAAATTGACAGTATGCAAGGAGCAACACACCAAAAAACATATGGTAACTGACAAGTACAAGAACAAGAAAGTATCATCATGAGCAAACTAAATTAGAGAACTGCAAACTTATCTACAGCAGCTAATGCGGCATGGCAACATCACAACTGGCTGGTCATGCCTATTGCCAAGCCAAGTGAATTGAAAAGTGAGATATCAATGTTACCTGCTCCATCACAAAATTGGTTACCCACTTTGATCCCCAAATATAACGTGCAATGCACTAAGGTGTTGCGACTGCTAGCTCAACAGCATCAGTTCACTTGACAAATAACTGTTTCCCTCAGGTTTCTTAGCCAAGATTATCTCTACACTCTTGAGTGCTAGTACCACTTTATCTTTAACTGTATAGCTTTCACATGCTCCAACTCTGGAGGTCATAATACTGTCACTTTGGTCTTTATTCGCCAAACATCATGATTATCTTTTGGGCTTTTAGACTCTACATTCTTTGATGACTGGATAATATACAAAACCAAGGCAACATGTTTCAGAGCACAACTTAATAGCCTTACTTCAAGAACAGAAAATAGATAATACAAATTAATCAACAATCACCAAATAGTCGACAAAAACCATGTTGCTAATGTTAGAGATTAATCAAGGACGTCAGGGCTTGGCATGAGCATACAAATGATCAGGAAAGCTCCTTTGCTCATTTTCTTGTTATCTTTACTATGATTTACAAGCTAAAAATGGATTCAGAAAAATCCACATAAGATGCACAATCATTAATAGTAAACTTCTTGGAAGTTACTTTCCTCCTAGCCTGACTAACGAACTAAGGAAAACGGAAATGAAAATAACCAACCATATAAGATAGGATATTTAGCAATCAATTCAAGATGAAAATTTCGAGGATAGAACACTTTAAACAAGAATTTTGGAAGCTGATTTACGTTTCAATGATGAAATAACAACTTGTTGGTTAATGAACCAAAGAAAGTTAAAAAGAATGGACCATTATCCATTTTACCTGATTGCATTTCTAGATCATTGACAGGGTGGGCAGGGGGGATGCAATAGGTATGTTTAGGAGATTATAATGACTCTATAAGCTATTATAGTTAAGCTAAGCGCTGAACTTAATTTATGATCTGCTGTGAAAAATAGGCACGAAAGCAGGAGCAAGTCGGGTAGCCAAACGGAAAAACAGACAAAAGCTGGTTGAAAAGATGGATTATCATATTCCACCTCAATGCAAATTGCCAAACGCAGCCTTAATCTTAAGTTAAAGAGGCTATACTAATCACAATACCAATGAAAGGTTTAACAACATTCAACCAACAAAATTCAAGACAAGGTGAAGTAGATTGTATTGGTTTCATATATACTTCCTTCCATCTTGTCTCAGCAGGGCAGGGCTGATGGTGAACATATTCTTTATAATAAACAAAGCTAGCTCTACGCAAATATTAGAGTTCTGGAATACTGTAGCCAGTGCAGTATAAATCAAACTGAAGAAAGTTAACATGTTAATCATATCTATATTTCGAAGAGCATCCAGATCAAACCTGGAGTGCCGTCTAACTGGAGAAGGTTCGGGTGAATAAGCTGTGAGTAAAGAGATAATATTTAAAAATCAGATGAAAGCCTATAAGATATGAATTCAATGAACTGCTTTATACTTACAGGGGTAACGAGACCTTGGGGATCTTGACAGCGACTGCCTTCTTCTGTAGTTTCCATCCATATGCCTACCACTATATCAGCAGAGGCAAAAATATATCCTTTGGTTATTTCAGATTTGATATTTACTACCCTACCTAATGCCTAAGTAAAAAACAGTACATATCTACCTTGATCTTGTTCTGAAGCGCATTTCTTGTGGGGTTTTTCTATTCTCCTCGGCAAAAACTATTGTAATCTCTCGACCGCAAATAACTTGATGATTCATTTCTTGCTTGGCATATGCAGCGTCCTCAGGGTGGCGGAATTTCACAAACCCAAAACCACGTAATTCCCTGGAAATATATATCAATTTGACCAATGATCAAGAAACTACTTGTTATTCAACAACAACAAAAAACACTTCCTGGAAAATATATACCAATATTACGAATGATCAATATTCAACAAAAAAAAATCAACAGTTAAAATAAATTTTACGGCAACAGTTTGTTCTCATTCCAACAACATTGACAAATGCGCAATTCGTTAAGACTAAATACAGAAGACATTATTTGCCAGTGAAAGAGAATATGCAACAAGTGCTCACCAACACTGCTGTTGAGAAGAATTGTTAAATAATCCTAATTTGGTTAAATTCAGCAAATTAACTGGCAGCTTATGCAAATGAATGTAATTAGAGGGTTAATCACAATATGCTATGCCATGACATCACAAAGGGCTTGCTAAAAATATTATTTCTTTTGAAAACTCAAGTCCATTGAGATTGCGACATCCCTTGTATTCACATGAATAACAGCAGTACGAAATCTAGGATTGCTGTTCACAGATTATCAATCAAGCTGCATAACATATCAGTTGCATTACACAAATTATTCAGCATCTCACTTAATTCATATACTTCTTTCATAATGTTCAATAATCAATCATGACTATGTGTATGACATGAACTGATCTTCAAATGTAATATAAGCATAAAAATTACTTTGTGTGGAAATTTCTCGGAAGGTACACATCCTTTATAGGGCCAAATTGCTCGAATGGACCACGGATGTCTTCTAGCCTGCAAAAGATGAAAAAAAACAAAGGCGGCGGAACATAATCGGTTAGCTAAGGTGCAATTCATCCACACACAGAAAAAGACAGAAAACACCATACATCTGTAGTGCATTGTATATACAAATGACAATTACAGAGACTACTGATAAGCTTTGACTGGGGCAGTAGCAAAATGTGAAAACAAGATATGATGGCCATCCCAAAACACACACAAAAATAATAATTTAGTATTGTGTCTATTCCTGTTTTTAATACATTTGGCTATTTATGCAAATGGGGGCAGTTATAATGAAAAAAATGATCTTGGCTCGTCAAGCCATAAGATCTCAACTGTGAAAGGTCACATCCACATGAAAATATCCAAAGTTCAAATCTAATTGATCTCGGACACATAAGCAACAATAGGATCACCTGTACAGTTCATAAATCAGTAATTATGATATTAGAATATGGATTTGCTAATTCTCATCTAGATGGGAATTAATGACGTCTCATCTAAATTCCCCACCGTCTGATCAAAAGCCCCAGGATTCTTGATTTTTTACCGTGGAATCAATGTTTTGGTCACACTTGTCATTCTTCTTAAGCGGTGCTCAATGACTCTCTCCCATAGCTTCATTGTATGACCCATCAACTTAATTCCATGGTAATTAGTACAACTCTAAACATCCCTCTTGTACCATCGAACCAATCTTCAAGAACAAGGGGGATGTTCAGTTGTACTAATTACCGTGGAATTAAGCTGATGGGCCATACAATGAAGCTATGGGAGAGAGTCATTGAGCACCACTTAAGAAGAATGACAAGCATAACCAAAAATCAGTTTGCTTTCATGCCTGTGAGGTCGACCATGGAAGCCATTTTCTTGGTACGACAACTTATGGAGAGATACAGGGAGCAAACAAAGGACCTGCATATAGTGTTCATTGACTTGGGGAAGGCCTATGAAAAGATACCACGGAATGTCATGTGGTGGGCCTTGGAGAAACACAAAGTCCCAGCAAAGTAGATTACCGTCATCAAGGACATGTACTATAATGTTGTGTCAAGTGTTCGAACAAGTGATGGCGACATTGATGACTTCTTGATATGATGTACATTACCCTCATCAAGGACATGTACTATATAAACCAAGCAACACATCATTCCATATGTACCACAATTACGCTTTGAAAACAAGCATGCATAGAATTAATCAAGTACTCCCTCCGTCCCAAAATAAGTGTCTCAACCTTAGTACAACTTCCTACTAGAGTTAGTACAAAGTCAAGACACTTATTTTGGGACGGAGAGAGTAATACATAAGACTGAATAGAATCAACAACCAAACCCAATCATCGATATGATGTACTCCCTCTGTCCCAAAATAAGTGTCTCAACCTTAGTACAAGTTTGTACTAGAGTTAGTACAAACTTGAGACACTTATTTTAAAACCGAGGGAGTAATTGCATGCAGTAACTATGTAATGATATACAGATTCAAAGACATGCTTCTTCTCCCCAGAGTTACGGCTGGGAGGGGGGAGGGGAAGGCACCTGGCGGTGAGTGAAATGTTGCGGACCAGGAGGCCGGTGGGCGCCGACGGTCGGTCGTACCCGCGGCGGGGCCCGCCGCCGCCGCCGCGGTAACGGTCACGCGGGTCGTCGTAGTGCCTGTAGCGGGGAGGACTGCGGCTGTACCGCCTGCGTGGGCTGTAGCTGCGGCTTCGGCTGCGGTACCCGGCCATCGACGCGTCGCCCTCGTTTAGTTAGGGTTTCTGTGAGGTTTGGATAATAACTTTACGAAAAGCGATAGAGAGAGAGAGAAGATCATGGCTTTTAACTTAAAGCACACGTGGGCCTCATGGCCCATGGGCCGTAGGGCAAATCCAAGTCAAAACCTCGCGAGCCGCATCGCCACCAAATCTGACCACCCCCGGTCCCCGTGCGGCTCACGACAGCATCACATTCTCCTCCCGTCGACGCCGCCGCCGCCGCTCGCCACGGATCACCACCATGTCCCCGCTTCCGCGCCGCTTCGCCTCCGTCAGACACATCTGCTCCAGCTCCGCCTCCGAGCTCGCCCCGGTACCGACCGCCGTCTCTGACGCCGCCTCCCGCGCGGCAGCCGCCGTGCTCCGCGCCCCGCGCTTCGAGCCCCGCCTCCTGTCGCTCGTCCCATGCCAACTGCTCTTCGAGCCGAGCTGCGTCCGCCAAACCCTCTCCCGCCTCCTCCCCTCCCCTGAACCCTCGCTCCGTTTTCTCCTCTTCCTCGCCTCCCACCTTCCCGCCCCCGCTGACGCCCCTGCCCCTTCGCCTCACCTCCCCGGGATCGACGCCTTCCTCCTCAGCCTCCAGCCACATCTCGCAGCCGATGCCGCCGCGCTGCTAGCCTCCCACCTCGGCCTCCACCCTTCCCTGCCCGCACTCAACGCGGCATCCCGTGCCGCTCTCCGGGCCGCGCGTCCCGACCTCGTCTTCCGCCTCTTTTCCACCTTCTCCTCCTCCCCTGCCTTCCCAGGCAACGCGGGCACCGTCGCCTGCCTCGTGCGCGCCTGTGCAGCCGACTGCCGCCCGCTCGACGGCCTCCGCCTCCTCCGAGATGCTGCACGACGTGGCTCCCCTCCCTCATCTGCTGCTGCCGCCGACCTTGTCACGTCCTTTGTGGCCATCGGCAACTTCGCAAAGGTGTCTGAGACGCTCCACCTCATGATCTCTGCGGGATGTCCTCCAGCTACGTTTGTCTACCAGCGTGTCATACATGGGCTCTTTGCGCATGGGATGGGTGGCGAGGCCCTTCGTGTCTTCAGTGAGATCAAGCTGCGTGGTTATGCCATAGATGTAGTCACTTACAACACAGCACTCACTGGTTTATGTAAAATGGGCCACATTGCCGATGCGCGGCAGATGTGGGATGAGATGGTGGACAAAGGTATACAGCCCAGTGAGTATGCATATTGCTCTTTTCTCGATTACTACTGTGAAGCTGGTGATTTTGGGATGGCTCTCAAGGTGTATGAAGAAATGCTTGACAAGGGATTCAAGGAGAGCACAGTTAGCTGTAACATTATCGCCAAAGGGTTTTGTGTTCATAGGAGGGTGGACGAAGCAGTTGGGGTGTTTGAGGGAATGGTTACAAAAGGGATTGAACATGATGTGATCACTTATAACACGTTGATTCAGGGCCTATGCAAGGTTGGTAGGTTGGCTGAGGCGATAGGGATGTATCAGCGGCTACTCTCATCTGGTTTGGAGCCAAGTGTGCAGACCTTCACACCACTCATTGACACCTTGTGCAAGGAAGGGCAGGTCGATCATGCTGTTGAATTACTTACCTTGATGCAGGCTAAGGGCTTGGAACCGTTGGAACGTAGCAATGATAGTGTCATCAATGGGTTCTGTAAGGTCAGGCGGGCTGATGATGGTATGGCATGGTTGGCTAGCATGTTGAAGAACAATCTGAAACCTCGGGAACAGACGTTCAATTCTTTGCTGGAGTCTCTGAGCAAATCCGAGCGAATGGATGACGCACTGCTGATTCTGAATACAATGTTTAAAGCTGGATATGAATTAGGCAGTTTGGCTTCTGCTATACTTGTTGATAAGTTATGCACAGGCATTGTATCTTATCCTCAAAAGTTGGAGGATATTTTGGTGAGCAGCTAGTGGCATTTGGATGCCCTGCAAATCGTACAAATGTTCATTTGTTTCTCCCTTGATTGATGTCTTTGAGAAATGTTTTTATTGGTGTTGTTCAAAAGGCTACACAAATGACTTATGTAGAAATTCAGAACCCTGATGACCAAGAACTTGACTTTTGAGGTTCATATTCAGATTATAACTTGGCCTCCAACCATTCCAGTAAATCTTGGAGAGACAGAAATGTGCAACGGCAACGGCTGTGAGTAACAGCTCTGAGAGGTTGTGACTGCAGTGAGCAGCGTTGATGGCTAATATTCTTCTTTGGCCCTGTAATAATCCAAATGCCTGTGATCGTGGGGATCTATTGAACAGCACTGTAGTACCTTCTTCAGGAACTGCAATGGGCACTTCAGGATGGCCATAGAGCTCTCTGAACACAAGCTTTGTGGCCCTTACATCACCATTCTCTGCATCTCCATTCCCAGGTGTACATTGTGCTTTGGCCCTGTAATAACCCCTTCTATTTTCTGTCTATTTTGAATATTCACATCTTAACAATAGACTAAATCAACCCATGTCTCGTCCTTCCTGTATTTCGTTTGAGCAAATGGATTCAAGATAATTTTAACTGTTGTCAAGAGAACTACGACGTCCATATGTAGGAATGTGAAGAGGAATGACTGTTAATGTCTTCTTTGGTTTATTTCTACTTGATTAATATCTCATAGAGGGTCCTCTTTGATTCTTTATATAGAGGCCTGATAATTGAAACTAAGTAATGAATTGAAGATCATATGTGTCCAATTGTCTTAATTCCCAAGCTAATGTGTACCGTCCTAATTTAAAGGATCAACTACCTAACTGGAAACTTAAGGTATGGTATCTGTGTACTCACCCATAGGTCCAGTCCAGGTACTTCCATGCATAGCAAATTCAGAGAAGTTTTGGCATTTTGTTCCTCTGTTTGCACTAGTTTTGCATATATATGCTGACCACAGTTTAACCTCAGAATGACGAGAGATTTATCCATGCTGTGCTGTAGTAATTTTTTGTGTCAACTACTGCTACGTGTGATTTCGCAAATGGTAACACGGCTTGGGTTAGCATAGTATAGCTGCTTTATGAAAAAATCCAGCTTGTTACATCCTTGGGAATCTAGGAAGGCCTGGAAGACATGGTTAGGAGTGTACCGATTGGCGAGAAGCTCTTCATAGGAGGAGACCTCAGTGGTCACATGAGTACATCTAGCACAGGTTTTGAAGGGGCACATGGGGGCTTTGGCTATGGCATCAGGAATCAAGGAGAAGATGTCTTAAGCTTTGCTCTAGCCTACGACATGATTGTAGCTAACACTCTTTAGAAAGAGAGAAGCACATCTGGTGACTTTTAGTAGTGGCCAACACTCAGTCAGATTGATTTCATCCTCTCGAGAAGAGAAGATAGGCGTGCGTGTCTAGACTGTAAGGTGATACCTAGAGAGAGGGTTTGTGACGCCCTCGATTTAATCGTACACAAATCATACACGCAAATGTGTACGATCAAGATCAAGGACTCACAGGAAGATATCACAACACAACTCTAGATACAAATAAAATAATACAAGCTTTATATTACAAGCCAGAGGCCTTGAAGGCTCGAAAACAAATGTTCGAAGACACGAGAGTTGGCGGAAGCAAAAAATATCCGAGTACAGACATATGGTTAAACAAGTTGCTATGAGATGGCTAGCGCAAAAGTACTCCCTCCGTCCCAAAATATAAGAATGTTTTTAACACTAGCATAGTGTCAAAAACGTTCTTATATTCTGGGATAGAGGGAGTAGCAATGATCGAAAAGGCAAGGCCTCCTGCCTGGGACCTCCTAACTACTCCTGGAAGTCGAACTCCACGTAGAATCATCCTCGGGATCCTCTGGCTACTGGACTCCATCATATGATCGCAATAATCGGGAAAGGGAGAAAAAGTAGTAAAGCAACCATGAGTACTCATCCAAAGTACTCGCAAGCAAGGATCTACACTACATATGCATTGATATCAATGAAATGGGTAGTATCTGTGGACTGAACTGCAGAATGCCAGAATAAGAGGTGGATAGCTAGTCCTATCGAGGATTACGCTTCTGGCAGCCTCCGTCTTGAAGCAGTAGAAGAGAGTAGATGGTAAGTTAACCAAGTATCATCACATAGCATAAACCTACCCGACGATCCTCTCCTCATGGCCTTGTGAGAGAGCGATCACCGGGTTGTATCTGGCACTTGGAAGGGTGTATTTTATTAAGTATCCGGTTCTAGTTGTCATAAGGTCAAGGTATAACTCCGGGTCGTTCTTTTACCGAGGGGCGCGGCTATTCGAATAGATAAACTTCCCTGCAGGGGTGTACCACATTTCCCAACACACTCGATCTCCTTTGGTCGAACACACTTTCCTGGGTCATGCCCGGCCTCGGAAGATCAACACGTCGCAGCCCCACCTCGGCACAACAGAGAGGTCAGCACGCTGGTCTAAATCCTATGCGCGTAGGGGTCTGGGCCCATTGCACACCTGCACGTTGCGTACGTGGCCGGAAGCAGACCTAGCCCCCTTAATACAAGCGCATGCTTAGGTCCAATCCGGCGCGCGCCGCTCAGTCGCTGACGTCAAGAAGGCTTTGGCTGATACCACGACGTCGAGTGCCCATAAGTGTTCCCGCGTAGTTGGTTAGTGCGTATAAGATAGTGGTCAGACTCAGATCAAATATCAAGATCTCGTTAAGTGTGTTAATTGATGTAACCGCGGACGCCGACCAGGGCCAGGCCCACCTCTCTCCTAGGTGGTCTCAACCTGCCCTGTCGCTCCGCCACAAAATAACAGTCGGGGGCCGTCGAGAACGCAGGCCCACCACTACCTGGATTGAACCACCTGCCCCTTCAGCCCCCACATCGGAATCACTTGCGGGTACTTTACGAGCCGACCCAACTTCAGTCACTACATGTATCACATATTATGTATATAATTATATACCCGTGATCATCTCCCGAGTGATCACAGCCCGATAGTATAGCAAAGGCAGACGGACAAGAATGTAGGGCCACTGATGAAATACTAGCATCCTATACTAAGCATTTAGG